AGATTTTATGTACCCTAATGGAATAACATATTCGAAGGCTATTTAGAGGATATCCAGAGGACATCATCAGAATATTCTTTGAACGTCTTCGGGATGTTTTGTCAGGTATAATCATGTAAAGAAAATTACTGTAATGAATTGTGTATCTGGAATGTTCTTTGATTACGAAGTCTCTAGTTACTCAGAATCGAGAAAAAATATAATTCAGCACTAAATCTCTTTTTATATTTTAATATTTTTTACATTCCAGATACACAGTTCATTACAGTAATTTCCTTTATACGAAGATGTTCGAATGTTCTCTGGATATCCTCTGAATATCTTTCGAATATGTTGTGCTATTAGGATTCCTAAAAATATTGTATAATATTCAATACATGTTAAAATAATTACAATGTGCAAACTATCGTGGAATCTGCATCCATCATCTTCGATAAAAACTCCAAGTATTTCATATCCTGTTTTGTGATCAACATTCCATTGCACAGATCGTTGACAACATCGGAACAGGATTCTAACAGGGGGACCCGTATTCGAAAGGTGCTAGAAATGCCCGTAGATCGAGAAAGAGAGAGAAAGAGGTAACGCGAGAAACTCTCGAAGCAACCCTCGACGGCCCCCAAAATCCATTAGACCGGAAAACGAGGTAGAATCGTAGAACGCAATGGCGTCTAGAAACAAACGACGGCCGATAGGAGTGAACAAGCAGTGAATCACCCAAGCACTTGTTTACCAAGAGAATCAAGGATTCAGGGATGCCGTTCTCCGACTCTTGGAATCCAGCCCCCATCCTCCCCATCCGGTCCACCAACCCCCTCACACCATCGCCCTCGCCATCAGCTCACCACCGTCGTCGTATGGGATCTTCCGAAGGCGGATGGAGTAGCTCTTCGCATACGTAGACACACGCAGCATCTCGAAGCGGGTTGAAGAGAGATGGGGGATGGAGCGAGCGAGGAGGGAAAGAGAGAGAGAGAGAGAGAAATCGGGAGGGATGAAAGGGAGGGAAGTTACGCAGACATAGAAGCGGCACTAGAATCGCTAAATGTAATTCGGTTAAAAGGGTTTTAGCAATACAATGCATATAAACATGAGTGCCCCACCCTCGTCGCCGCCACGTCCTTTCGAACTACCCCTTCTCTTCCTCCCTCCTGCACTCTGTGTCTTCGCAATCCTCTATTGCAACAGCGACGACTCTCGACTTCCTTTTCGATGAGGACCAACTTCCGTTAATAGATAGATACGAGGGAAATCAGCTAACCGAGATATAACGTTCATCAAACATTAGAGAGTCTTGCAATCAAGTAGGATAACATGATTCCAAGATTTTTAAACGATTTTTACTCGAAGGAATGATTCCAAAGTATTTTTCGCAGCATTTTTAAAGTAGACACTATATGTGTCTTATAATTAAGAATCACCTCGCTTCATTGTATTAGAAATTAGCAAAGCAGGAGTGCTTTGCTAATTTCTAATACAAAAAATCTAGTACAAAAAATTAAAAAAAAAAAATATAAAAAAATGTATCATTTATACTCGTTTAAATTATACATTTTTATATATTTTTTTTTTTTAAATTTTTTGTACTAGATTTTTGTATTAGAAATTAGCAAAGCACTCCTCGACATTTAAATAATAATTTCGTTTACTTAGAGTGCTCCCAGGTAGAACATAAAACTCAGAATGACATCATGATGGCGTCACTTAAAAGTGCTTTTAGAAAACATTTTTATATATTACAGTTATTTATTTATTTTATTGTTCGCACATGTTCTAACGATATTCAAGCAACATAAAATTTTCGAAAATTATATAAAGCGATTATTTTATATTAAGAAGATTTAAATTTATGATTTCTCTTGTCAATTTTAAATCATTTTTGAATCATTGTTCTCCAAGTAACTTTTAAGCGACGAATAAAATCACGATGACGTCATGTATATTATACAATTATTTCTTTATTCTATTGTTCACACATATCTCAACAATATTCAAGCAGCATAAATTTGTTAAAAATTTTATAAAACGATTATATTAGAAGGATTTAAATCCATGATTCCTCTCGTCATTCATAAATCATTTTGAATCATTGTTCTCCAGGTATAACTATTGTTCACACATATTCCAATAATATTCAAGCAGCACAAATGTGTTGAAGATTATATAAGAGGAATCTAAATCTATGACTCCTATATCGTTATTTTTGAATCATTGTTCTCCAGGTCGTGATGACGTCATTACGAGTTCTATGTTCTAAATATCTGGGCTGCGAAAGGAATAAATCACAGATAAATCACGAAGAACCAATACAATTATTCCAGATTGATCGAGATTGACGCGTACTATGTGTAATAGCGTTTTTCGTTAAATTGCCGTCCGCGAACGGGCCTCGCACGCAAATAAATCCACCCTCGTTCTCTTCATCCCCCGAAACCGGAAGAAGGGAACACGCGGGAAACGCGAAGCGGGATTGGCCGTTATGCTAATTTGAAGAGAGAGAGAGCGCGCGCGTCACGGTAACACGCCTTCGCGCTTCCTCGGGTCGTCGGCATATTCCTCGAGAAAGCTTTACGGCCATTCCCTTTTTCCGCCATAGCGTAAACGGAGACGTGGCGCCATGCCAGAACGTTCCCGAGATCGCCTGCCTGTCCCGGACAATCCCGGAGATTTTTCCTCGCAAATAATCACGCCCGAGTAAAGCTCGCTTGAGTTGCTCTCGCCACGGATTTTTCACGACCGAAAGATGAAGACGAAAAATTGGAATGGTACACGAGAACAAGTGGGGTGAGAGAGAGAGAAAAAATTGGCAGTCGCGAATCGGTAATAAGAGGAACGACGAATAGATTGACGAAAATCTGCGCGGCAGCGAAATTACGAGGAAAATATACGTATAAGTGAGAAAATTCCAACACGAGACGAGAGGCGCGATCTCGATAATGTTTGGCGATCCGGAACTCGACTTGAATCATTTTCTTTTTTTAGTATAAAGCGTTGTGCGAATCATCTAAAATATTTTAACAAAATTCGGTATACGGTAATGTTGTTTCTTTCAAGAAATTAATTTTTTATTGCCGTTTGATCAGCTTGTAAATATATATTTATACAGATTATTTTTTGAAAGTCGACTTGAATAATTTTCTTTTTTAATATAAAGCGTTGTGCGAATCATCTAAAATATTTTAACAAATTCGGTATACGGTAATGTTGTTTCTTTCAAGAAATTAATTTTTTATTGCCGTTTGATCAGCTTGTAAATATATATTTATACAGATTATTTTTTGAAAGTCGACTTGAATAATTTTCTTTTTTAATATAAAGCGTTGTGCGAATCATCTAAAATATTTTAACAAAATTCGGTATACGGTAATGTTGTTTCTTTCAAGAAATTAATTTTTTATTGCCGTTTGATCAGCTTGCAAATATATATTTATACAGATTTTTGTTGCACTCTATATAGATATACATTTTCCTTATTTCTGGTTTGCAATATGTCAATGCACACTCGTGTCTCCCGTTTGATTGAAACTCCCAGCCCGTCGATATACATGCGCGCACCCGCGGTATCCTCGATTTTCCCGTGATTTTCGCGTTCTCGAAACGGAAAAAGAAAATGGCAGCGCGGGGAAAGCGGTGACATCGATCCGCGTTCGTCAAATACGACTTTGCCTCCTTCTTGCGCCGGTCGCGCTGACGTTTTCCGAACGAGCGAACTCTCTCTCCGCCGCGGAATGTCGCGGAATTCGTAACTGGGGATTAGCATATCATAAATACTGATGACGCGACGCGGCGCGGCGCGGCTCCTTCGAGTGCCTTTCGAAACACGACGTTCGGTTCTCCATTCGAGCACCAACCAGACCAGCCGGGAGGGTCGTCTGGGGGGATGAAGCCTCTCATTTACAAGCCATATACCAATCAGCGGCCATCATGCAAATAACATGAGGAGACTCCCTCGCACACGCGGTTCAATACAAGCGGGATACTCCGGGTATTCGTTGTTCCAAGTGTAAAGTCCAATTTCATATTTTGATCATTATACAAATTCGGATTTTTTTTACATTTATTTTCAAGTGTTACTGCGTGTGGCAAAGTTAGGAAAAGGGCAACTTGATTTTGGAGAACACTGAATATATAATTAATTGTGTGGTTAAATCGAATAATAAATGATACTTTTAGTTTGAGAAACATCGACATATATATTTTCAAGTAATATTCTATCCGTTTTATAATTTATTATTGTCAGAGAAAACCGTTTCTCTTAATTACTTTTTTAGATCAATTGTGTGATATTGATTGTGTGCATTTTATTAGACGAATAATTTATGCAAACACGTGTAGGATAATATCTTTTTATAATAGCATTAAATTAAAACAGTTAAATACCCGGGAATGAATTATGCGAAGGGGAAAGAAAGGAGGCACAGAGAGTTTGTTCGATTTCATAATTTATTTAGGAACTTCTCGCGATAATCATACCGTGTATCTGCATCGCATTCGCTAACTTAGAATCTATGCGGATAATATTTACACTCACATTGTATGCTATAAATACATGCTTCTCGCTCGTGCACTCATACAGGACAATACTCGAATAACGCTTATAACCCTGGACAGGATAGAAGATCCTAATATCCTGCGTACGTCTCCTCTTTACATCGTTTATATTAACAACGTCGCGGTTTCAGCGCTTATCTGCCAGCTCTATTTTACAAGCCGAGCGAACACAGAATAAATAGTCCCTAGAATGTCTATGTACATGACGGATTCAGATTAAATGGCATCCGTCTCGAGGCTTTCATCGATTTCGAAGCAGACTTTGCTGTCACGTGCACTGAAAAAAGAATTATTAAATTTTAATAAATATTTATTTCACTACTGCCGAATAAATCATTTATTTGAAACTAATAATATTGATTTGGCGTGAAAATATTTGATCTGAGGAAATTCTTTTCAAAACAGATAAATATTTATTTGTTTCGAGTAAATGATTTTCTTAGGCAGTATTGAAATAAATATATTTTAATTTAATAATTATCTTTTTTTTCTAGCAGATTGTAAAAGATTAATCCGATTATACCACCATATCCAGTTACTTTGAGCTTCTCGAGAGTCAGCAATGACGCTCGTATGTCTAATAACCGTGATTAACAAGCGAGGTATCGTTAATGATCGAGTGTATGTGAATACTATCTCATTTGCAATTATTTACATTAGGTTTTCTGGTGCAAAAGAAATTATAGAGATGAGATATATATACACGAGATCAATTATTTTTTTTTGGTAAAAAATTACGAAATCAAAATTTATCAACACCGAGGTAATTTCGATAATATCGATGCACGCAAAAATAATTCTTCCGTTTATCTCTGACAGTAGAAATGTGACTAATTGATATAAGCTGGATTTTTTTCTGACAAAAAATGATGCTGATTTTAATTTCTCCTTTATAAGTCATATAGCTTTATCAGTTTGCTGTTATAATCGATTATGAGAATTATATTGCGATTGAAATGACAGAAAGATTCTTGATTTTTACTACAAAAGTATCTATATAAGAACATATGCGCGGTTGAATTAATTAAGCAGAATTAACTTAGTCGAATCTTCAGATTCGAATTTTGAAAGACTCTGAAATAATGACTTTCCTTAACAAATAAATTGTTCAAGAAGCACAGTCAGCTTGATGATTTTCGCATCTTTCTAATCGTTGGAGGGCCAACAATATATAATATTTCCTACTTAATCCTTCGAGAAAAATATTCCTTTTTCCTGACTTATTCCTTTCGTCATAAACGATAATAAACAGAGAAAAATATTTTGTGATTTGCTTATTGCAAAATATGAATAATAAATAAAACAATAATAAATAGAACTGTAGCGGCAAAAATGTTCGCGGTTTATTTATTGAAAAATGTTGGTCTTCCAAAGATTAAACGAGCCTCTGGTGATTTTTTAAACCACGTAAGGCCGATACAAAGGTTCCTGAAGGTCCGTCCCAGTTCTCTGACTTTCCTGGAGCGTTCCTCTGGGTTCCTCCGGTGTTCCAGGCGCGTTCACGCTAACGTCACTTCCGGCGTCTCGCTCGACGCTTCTCGTGCTTCCGGTCTCTTCGGCTTTCCCGGTCGTGCGAGCCTCCTGCTGCGCTTTTTTGCTACGCTTCCATTTCATTCGGCGATTTTGAAACCAGATTTTCACCTGCAACGAAAGTGTACCGTGTAATTGCTGATCGAATGCGGGATAAAACTTATCGAAATTATTTATTACGCATCAAGCGAAGCGTTCGTGATGCAAAGATTAATGAAATTGCACGGCGATAAGCGATTTCGTGGAGCTAATACGTGGAACTATAGTGATATCTGCTCTGATAAATTATTTTTAGGCACTGAATATCTCATTTAATTTTAGATAATTTTAGAAATAATTATAATTATAATATTATTATATTATATATAATATAATATATAATATGAATAATATAATATATAATTATATATAATATAATATATAATATATAATGTAATATATAATTATATTTATAATTATATTATAAAATAAACCTTCGCGTAAAAAAAGATTATTCTCTGTGTATTATAACATCTCTGTTTGCATGTATTTATTTTATTAAAAAATTGTATTTAAAATTATTGAAAATAGGGAATAAAAAATCAAATTTATCTATTTTGACATAATATCGTGATCGATTACATTTGAAAGGAGAAAGTCGACTCGGATATATATTATCTAAACATCACAAAGTAATCATTCCTCTTTTACTTACACAACGATTATCGATTACTCTATACGGAAATAACGATAAATACCAAAAAAAAAAACAATAATCTATCTACTAACAAAGTACCTTGGACTTTCTATACACACATACTTACTCCTGATATTAAATGATAAAGATTTCCTCATAGTATATACGTACTTCAATTATGTAAAGATATATTTTCGAAGAGCATCATTATAATGAAAAAAAAAATTATTGAATTTGAGTAAGTATTTATTTCAATACTGCCAAATAAATTGATCTGATGTGAAAAATATTTATGTTATACAAGAAAATCCTTTTCAAAACAGATATTTAATTGTTTCAAATAATTTACATAAATCGCAAGATTTGCTAGTTCGATTTCGAGTCGATATCAGTTTTGAAAAGTGCTAATTATCTGACGATTTATCGCCGGGACACGAGTGTGCGTCTCAATCTCGACTCCGTTCGATCCACGCCCGATTTAATTTGGCGAATGCGTACTCCATAAGCGCGAGTAACATTACGTGAGCCACCCCGCGAGACGCCGTAAATCAGGTAGACAGATACAGGGACTCGATTTTTCCTCCCCAATCGTAAGAAAACGATGTAAATCTTTCGGACAACATATCATGCGCCCGGGCCAATCCCCTCCAGGCACACCGACCGTATTATATCTTTACCCTCCGCACATAGGAGCGCAGTTTTCTCGTACGAATACGAATGGGAAAATCCGTGAACGTTTCACCGAGTTCTCGCGTCGCGAAGGATCCTTCCGTGTGACAAGATTAATCCGAAATTTTCAATCATCTCGCAGTAAAGTATATATAGGTTTTTTCTAACTAAAATTTCAGTTAGAAAAAAATTGTTAAATTGATAAATATTTATTTGAATACTGCCTAATAAATCATTTATTTGAAGCAAGTAAATATCTCTTTTGAATAAAAGAATTTTCTTGTATAACATAAATATTTTTCGCATCAGATCAATATTAGTTTCAAATAAATGATTTATTTGGCAGTATTGAAATAAATACTTATTCGAATTCAATAATTTTTTTCATTATAATGATGCCTAAATTTTAATCATTTCACAGTAAAGTATATAGGTTTTTTCTGTTAAATTGATAAATATTTATTTGAATACTGTCTAATAAATCATTTATTTGAAGCAAGTAAATATCTCTTTTGAATAAAAGTATTTTCTTGTATAACAAATATTTTTCACATCAGATCAATATTAGTTTCAAATAAATGATTTATTTGGCAGTATTGAAATAAATACTTATTCGAATTCAATAATTTTTTTCATTATAATGATGCCTAAATTTTTAATCATTTCACAGTAAAGTATATAGGTTTTTTCTGCACTGAAAAAATTATTAAATTGATAAATATTTATTTGAATACTGTCTAATAAATCATTTATTTGAAGCAAGTAAATATCTCTTTTGAATAAAAGTATTTTCTTGTATAACAAATATTTTTCACATCAGACCAATATTAGTTTCAAATAAATGATTTATTTGGCAGTATTGAAATAAATACTTATTCGAATTCAATAATTTTTTTTATTATAATGATGCCTAAATTTTTAATCATTTTACAGTAAAGTATATAGGTTTTTTCTGCACTAAAAAAATTATTAAATTGATAAATATTTATTTGAATACTGTCTAATAAATTATTTATTTGAAGCAAGTAAATATCTCTTTTGAATAAAAGGATTTTCTTGTATAACATAAATATTTTTCGCATCAGATCAATATTATTAGTTTCAAATAAGTAATTTATTTGGCAGTATTGAAATAAATACTTACTCAAATTCAATAATTTTTTTTATTATAATGGTGCTCTCCGAAAATATATCTTTACATAATTGAAGTTTCAAAAGTATACGACATGTAGAATTGATAAAAAACTGCATATTTTTACATCAAATTAAAAAAAATAAGAAAAAGAAATAAAATAATAATTATTACACATTTTTAACGTAATGTAATCTAATGTTTAAAGAGCATTTTTATGCTCCAAATATTGATCTCTTTTATAGTCTAGAATTTTATCGAGAGAAACGGCGAGTGCCATCACTTTTCAATCAGCTGGATAATTTGATAGGCGAAACACTACGATTTGCAGGGACTTACGTAAATCATTCGCGTCGCGTTAACAAATAATTCGGAGCGCGAGGCAAACAAGCGTTGGGGGTTGAAAGGGGTGAGTATAGGGGAACGAAAAGGCGCGAATTGTAGGCGCGAGCGAGTCGGTCGAAAAAAATGGATTAAAGGTGGGAAAAAAAGCGACATGCGAAAATAAATATTTGTTGTCGATAAATCGACGAGCGATGAAGAGCGAGCGGGCGAGATAGAGAGAGAGAGAGAGAAAAAAAGAGAGACAGAGGAGAAATAGATCGCGCTGTAAATTATCTCACGAATCGAAATTAATCGACACTTTGTACACGGGAAACCGAACGACGAATGAATCATGGAACACCGAAAGCGTTCCGAATCGACGATATCACTTCGATCGCAATCGCGCTAATTGCCGAAGATATTTTTTTTTTCTCGCTAACGATCATTATTGTTGCGTAGATTTCGCGTGTTATTACAAATGATTACGATCGCGATTTTGCGATAACTTTTAATCGCGAGTATTATTACCAGGTCTTAATTAATTCCGCCGAGCAGGAAATCCTTGTCGCAAGTCAAATCGAATTACTTTTGGTAAGAGTCCAAAGTCCGAACGATCGTCTGGAGAAAACATTAAATGCATAATGCATCGAAAAAATTCGCATTTAATCTTTCAACGAGATGCATTTTATGCAATTTTTGCGTTAAATGATAATGGCACACATTACACTGAAAAAAATGCATTATACATCATTTGTTTGAAACAAAAAGGTATTTATCTGTTTTGTAAAGGATTCTAATATTAAACCAATATTATTTATTTAAATTCAATAATTTTTTTCAGCGTGGAATTATTGCTTGTTATCTTTGGAAAGTTTTAACATTGTGACATTTATCTAATGAAATTGTTTGCCTTAGGATAGGTATGATAAGGACAAATCTTTATATATATATAAACGTATATACTATGAGGAAAAATATATATATATATATATATATATATATATATATATATATATATAATTTGTAACAGCCCTTTAAAAATTAATATACATATAAAAGGCAATAAGAGCTAATTAATTTCTGTTATTAATATTTATTTGTGGAAAAAAATTTTTAACATAAAATATTAGACAAAAAAGTTCGAACGTTTCGGTTGCCTTTTTCAATCTTCTTCAGCGCATCATTTAAAATTAAAGATTAATAGAAATTAACAATAAATTATTCATAACTGTCAATATACTAAAATGCGTTGATTTAGTTTTTTATAAAAATAATATCTTGACGTAGTTTATGCTCTGTTTCTGTATAGTTTTAGTATATTGACAGTTATGAATAATTTAATGTTAATTTCTATTAATCTTTAATTTTAAATGATGCGCTGAAGAAGGTTGAAAAAGGCAACCGAAACGTTCGAACTTTTTTGTCTAATATTTCATGTTAAAAATTTTTTTTCACAAATAAATATTAATAACAGAAATTAATTAGCTCTTATTGCCTTTTATATGTATAATTATATATATATATTTTTTTTATAGAAAGAGAAAAAAATATCTACTGTAAGTATGCAACCTTTGTCTTTGAAATAAACGCGCATTCTTCGGACATCGCGACGCTTTTCCAAGCTCGCACCTGGCCGGTAAATCGACGGTAATTTCTGCGAGCGCGGAAGTCAGACGAACCGAAACGGGTAACAGGATTCTGGGGTAGGAAGGAAGGAAGGGAGGAGGCCGAGATGGAGGCGAGGCAGAGAATCGGTAAAATATCGAAACAAATCAGCGACTGAGCCCGCCATAACTCAGACTTTCACGTCTGTTTGCCGAGCGATCCGTCAGGGCTCGTAAGCTTCGGAGTTATGTTTAAGTTGTTGAACTATGCGAGAGAGGATTCGCGTGCACACGGCCGGGCAACCGGATGGAGAAAGGAAGGGCGGCGGACCGGATTATTCGGATTTTCTCTCCTTTTCGAAGAGAGGCTCTCTTCCTTTTTCTCCCGTCGCGTGCTCGCGTGACCTCTCGCGAATTTCCATTTTCGCGCTATTTACAGACCCGACGACGCGACGTCGCTCGACGAGGAGGAGTCGGAGCGACTCTTGACGAGCTAACTCGACTTCAAACTCCAACTCGGGAAATAACCGATTGGATTTCTTAACGATTTCTCCGCAAACTATCCTCTGTATCAATCGGAGATACGCTATTACGGAAAAATATGCTTTCGCAGTTTGAAGAATAGATATAGATACATGGACGTCCGCAAGATTTTTTTCAGGCAAGGATATTGATTAAATAAATATTAAGGAGATTGTTGATGATATCAATGTAATATACATATATTTAAATTAAATCGGCCACCGCGCGCGAAAATTAATTTCTTTCGCGAATTTTTAAACTTGACAGATTGCCAAGATTTAATTAGGAACTGTGTCTCTTTATTTGAGACTATCGATAGAAAAATTGGTGAGAAAAATAATATTCGAAATTATATGGGTAGAATTAATTTTTTTTGTTCTTTCTTAATTTTTTGGTTGTTTGTTATTTTCATTTTTTATATTAAATAAAAACTCGGGAAATAACCGATTGGATTTCTTAACGATTTCTCCGCAAACTATCCTCTGTATCAATCGGAGATACGCTATTACGGAAAAATATGCTTTCGCAGTTTGGAGAATAGATATAGATACATGGACGTCCGCAAGATTTTTTTCAGGCAGGGATATGATTAAATAAATATTAAGGAGATTGTTGATGATATCAATGTAATATACATATATTTAAATTAAATCGGCCGAAGAGCCACCGCGCGCGAAAATTAATTTCTTTCGCGAATTTTTAAACTTGACAGATTGCCAAGATTTAATTAGGAACTGTGTCTCTTTATTTGAGACTATCGATAGAAAAATTGGTGAGAAAAATAATATTCGAAATTATATGGGTAGAATTAATTTTTTTTGTTCTTTCTTAATTTTTTGGTTGTTTGTTATTTTCATTTTTTATATTAAATAAAAACTCGGGAAATAACCGATTGGATTTCTTAACGATTTCTCCACAAACTATCCTCTGTATCAATCGGAGATACGCTATTACGGAAAAATATGCTTTCGCAGTTTGGAGAATAGATATAGATACATGGACGTCCGCAAGATTTTTTTCAGGCAGGGATATGATTAAATAAATATTAAGGAGATTGTTGATGATATCAATGTAATATACATATATTTAAATTAAATCGGCCGAAGAGCCACCGCGCGCGAAAATTAATTTCTTTCGCGAATTTTTAAACTTGACAGATTGCCAAGATTTAATTAGGAACTGTGTCTCTTTATTTGAGACTATCGATAGAAAAATTGGTGAGAAAAATAATATTCGAAATTATATGGGTAGAATTAATTTTTTTTGTTCTTTCTTAATTTTTTGGTTGTTTGTTATTTTCATTTTTTATATTAAATAAAAGGATAGGTATTATTACGTGCACTAAAAAAAAAAAAAAATTATTGAATTCGAACAAATATTTATTTCAGTACTGCCCATAATAAATCATTTATTTGAAACTAATAATTGATTTGATATGAAAAATATTTATTTGATATAAGAAAATCCTATTCAATACAGATAAATATTTATTTGTTTCAAATAAATGATTTGTTAGGCAGTATTGAAATATGTATTACGCATTAATAATTTTTTTCAGTGCAAAAAGATCATAATTTTCTAATCTCTCTCTCGATGACAGTCATAACATCAAACGAGAATTATGACAAAATAATTGCTTCAGTTTATTTCGTTTTTTTTCGGCGTTTTTTGCAGTGGGAACGGCCTTTTATTACATAGAGATATTTTATCGTGGAATTATAGGTGATTCACGATTTCGCGCATTACATTACGTCTCTCTCTATTCTGTGACTAATAAAAATTGTTTATCGCGCGATACTTATCGCGCGCGAAAGAGAGAGATGAATCACGGGCTTATGGCTGTCATTGAATTTGGGATATCGAAAGAGGTAATGGGCGATTTAACATTATTATCTCGATTTACCTGCGTTTCCGTGAGCATCAGCGACGTTGCGACCTCGAACCTCTTCGGTCTGCTGAGGTATTTATTCTGCCGAAATTGCTTTTCCAATTCGAGGAGCTGCTGGGACGTAAAGGCCGTCCTTGGCCTTCTGGTCTTGCCCAGCAATGCATGTTGTGCCGCACAACCTATTACAAAAAAGTAATATCCTATTTAAAAAAAAATTCAATTGAAACGAGACGAATTATGTTATAATTAATTCGAGTGACGATATTCGCGATAATAACCGATAAATTGAAATGTTCCCTAATTAAGATACGTAATACGAAAATAGATCATGCTCTTATTTCATACAGCGTCGAAATTATAAATAATTATACAATTTTTTTTAACGAACGTCATGTTGACTCTTGCATAATACAAATTCGCAATAAAAATTTTTTTTTAATTGATTCGTTCGACGGAAAAGTCACAAATTGAATTAATGATTTTTAGTCCGGCAAACAGTTTCGGAGAGCGAAAATGATTCATTATCGCGATCCAATAAAAATCATCGAATGCTAATGCAATTATCGCGAGTGTAAATCCCTATGGATTACCGGGGGATGATTTGGGGTTAGACGATAGGGCGGAAAGCCGCCCCTGCAATTAGCCCCGTGAATGACTCTTGGTCAGGGGAGGATCGTCGACTTATAGCACCATGGGCGTAGGATCCTACAGAGTCTGATGAAATTATCGCCGATACAAACATGATGGTATTGCAATCAATCCATACGCGATGGAGACGCGGTCGCACCGGTGTCACACGATAGATACATGGACAGTTAACAATTTATCATCCAGAGCTATTTTACCTCTCTCTCGTTGCAGTCTAAATATATCATTTCTTATTAACAAGATGCCACATAGCATATTAATTATTTTATTTTCTATAATTTTTTAATCTATTTTTTTATCAATATTTTTTGAATTATCATACTTTTAAAAATTTTTTATATAATTTTTCAATCTATTTTCTTATCAATATTTTTTGAATTATCGTACTTTTAAAAATTTTCTATAATTTTTCAATCTATTTTCTTATCAATATTTTTTTAAATTATCGTACTTTTAAAAATTTTCTATATAATTTTTTAATCTATTTTCTTATCAATATTTTTTGAATTATCATACTTTTAAAAAGTATTATAATTATTTTTTTAATGCAAAATGCGCATTATTTATTTTCAAACGAGCAGATGAGGTAATATATTCGAGATAACACAAGAGATGTTCAAGTTTGATTCTCGTTGCAGTCTAAATATATCATTCCTTATTAACAAGATGCCACGTAGCATATTAATAATTTTATTTTCTATAATTTTTCAATCTATCATCTTATCGAAATTTTTGGAATTATTACATATTTTTGAAAATTATTATAATAATTTTTTTAATGCAAAATGCGCATTATTTATTTTCAAACGAGCAAATGAGGTAATATATTCGAGATAACGCAGGAGTTGTATGATTCCGGGCTTGAAATTCACGCGAGAGCTTAAAATTTGTGTACGAGAGACGCCGTTATTTTTGTCACGTGTTTTTGTTGTTGCCGAGCGTTGTGTCCACGATGGGTTTCCACGATTAACAGCGGGGGTAGGCCTTGCGTCACTGGCTTAAGCACCCTCGTAACTTAACTAGCAAGTGCGTGACCGGCTGTCAGTGTTTGTACACATGGCGGCGTTTAGTCGAGCGCATTCGGATTACCGGTCGCGCGCGTGATTCACTAAGCTACGAGCAGGTATATACGCACGCTCTCGCTCTCCCTCGAATAGTAGAGACTCGTGTTTTGATATAGGGCCGCGCGATTTCATCCCTGACGCACAAATAGGCGGCAGTTTCCGATATCTCGATGTTGCATTAACGGGATCTTACGCAAATTTCGCGCAAGTATTACGAAAAATCAAGAAGCATCCGAAAATTAAAAAATATAAAAGTCTCTATAGAGAACGTAAAAATATTTTAGAGGAAATTTATGGTATAATTAAAAATGTCAATTAAACTCTTACTTTCAACGAGTTTGGTCGTTACGAATGAAAAAAAAAAATTCCGAGCTTGCCGAGGCTTTTTGACAGTTGTTCACGTGCGCGAGGGACGTGACAGACTACATTTGATAGTTGTTAGTATTTAGAGCTGTAGCACATTTATTGGGTTATTTATCGTTGAACGAAGTGGAGTTTGGCTCCCTCTCTCCTTTCTCCTGCTGGGCACATATGGCCTGACCGATGATTTCCCTTCCCGCTGATTTGTGACAATTATTATTTGCACCATTGCGCTCCTCGTCCTGTCATGATTTATTTTTATATCCCTTTTTCAATTTCATCGTCTGCGGACACCATCTACGCGGTGCCCATTAGATCCTCGTGACACGCTGCATATATCAAACGTTATTATGCACATTGTCCAAAAAATTTCCATGTTCTGTTATAATATTCAAGATAAAAATCCATTTCAGTTACGAAACTGTTTATGATTACAAGATTACAGTAATCAAATTTTATCCACGATTACATATACTTTGTTAGTCAATCTGAGTCAAAAGATCGAGAAAATGAAGTTAAGATAAAATATCAACTCCAAGTAATTTTTATAATATTGAAACAGATTTTCGGGATAGCTTTTTAAGAGTTCTTTAAATTTAACATTCGGAACAATAAAAATGGAGGTAAAGAGATTTTCTGACAATTTGCATTTCTTCAAGTGATAATTTTCCAAGTTTTTGTAGATTAAGAATTTCTTCATTCTCTTGCAAGTTTTTAGATACAGCACAATTATAATTAAAATTAATTCTCTAATTGCAGTCAAAAGATTGTCATCAATTGTTGCCTGAACTTTATATGTTTGCGACTTTGCGTTTTAATCGCTAAATTTGTTTAAGCATCTCAAGAATTCTATAATTCTTCGGATGACAACCAGACCTTTATTAATTATCTGAAAATTCTGAATATTAATTGTTTGCCAAGACCGTAAAATTCGAATGTTGTCTGGGATGAGAACAAAACAAACAGCACCGGTTTCCGGTATATTTAAGAGTCGCATTCATTATCCTTGAAAAGTTAAAGAAATGACAAATAGCCGTCATAAATTGTCGCACCCTTCGTCGTCAAATTTGTCGGCTCATCGCGATAATTATTCATTGAGCCATCGTCGCATTAAATCGGCAAAGTTGCAAACGCGCCGAAGAAATTGTTCGCCATACGAAACTGAGGGGGTTGGCACCTAACATACGGTATGTGCCCCTTCATCATAGGGATGCTGCGTTAACTATAGCGCTAACTAACTGCAAATAGTCCTCCTCCCTCGCTTCGATAAATAAACTCGATTCGGCAATCGCGATGAAAATAATCGAGAGGCAAAAATAATGTTATAGAAATTAAAAAAAATTGAAACAATACATATTGTACATTAATAAGGATTTTAATCTACAAATAAAAAGGCAATAAGAGCTACATAAGTTCTATACTAGAATTATATTTGTGAAAAGATTTATAACATAAATTATTAAATATTATACCATCCAGATTTATAACATAAATTATCAAATATTATACATCCAAATTTCTACTAATATTTTAATAATTATTTAATAATTTATAAAGATTTATAACATAAATTATTAAATTATTAAATATTATAAATTATTAAATAATTATTAAAATATTAGTAGAAATTTGGAAATAATATTTTAATTTTTAATTTTTAATTTTGATGCGCTGAAGAAGGTTGAAAAAGACAACCGAAACGTACGACGAATCGAATTTACTTCTGTATAATATTTAATAATTTATGTTATAAATCTATTCACAAATATAATTCTAGTATAGAACTTATGTAGCTCTTATTGCCTTTTTATTTGTAGATTAAAATTGTCTAAAGAGCCGTTACAAATTATATTAATAAGGATCATTTTTCTTTACAACGTTTCTCCTTTCCGCTATTGTTATGCGCCGGTTGCATCGATTCCATATAAATCCGAAAAGCATATATATCGTTTTGTAATTAATTTCCATCATTAATTCCTGTGCAGTTCTTCGCGCGATACATTTGCGCTCGAATTGGCCTAATTTCATTGACACGCGAATGCACCGTGTCCCGCCAAAATTGATCATTTGGCACGCTGTGCGTCCGATCAGGAAATGCGCAAACTGTGACAGATGTCTGTAAACACGAGGAGGGCGACTTTATCGAGTGGACAATCACCATTCGCGCTCTTATATCGGGCGATAGAAGGGGCCTTTATCATGATAATTTAATTTATTTGGGGTCCCATCGGCCGCTTCATGCCGGGCCACCCTTAAATAGTGCCGATCATCGCGGCGGTAAACACCACCTATTATCTGTACTTAAAGCGACTACTCTTTCCCCTGTATAGCTTATACTCCCCTGAAAAAATTACACTCTACCGGTCGCATGAATACCCTTGCGCCTCAATGAAGGGTGGCAGTATTTTTTTTTCTTTTTTTAACACTTATGATAATGGGATAAGATGAACACATCCTTGGGATTTTATTACGATTTTAATTATGAGCGAGAAAAACAATTATATTCTGAAATTAATTAAAAATACTATTTACTTTATCGGAATAAGATGAACACATCCTTGAGATTTTATTACGATTTTAATTATGAGCGATAAAAACAATTATATTCTGAAATTAATGAGATCGGAATAATTTTATATCGCTCGCGATTGTCGTCTAATAATAACAATAATCAGATAAGAAATATTTTGATCGGCTCTCAATATTAATAATAATAATATATGATATTTTCAAATCGGTCAATAGGCGAAAAATATGGAGAAAAATAGGAAATATTTTCTCCATATGTAAGTTCGAGATTAATTTATATATAAAACTTAGTAATCTCAAATCAAGAGATACAGTTCCGAAGAATTAATTTTTCGCGTTTGGGCTCTATTGGCCGATTTAAAAATATCATAAATAACAATAATGTTTGCAAATGCAAGAATTCAAGGTATACAAGTGTATACAAGTTTTATTCTCTCGCACGGCGATTGTTATGTAATACTTACAGAATTAATCATCCGAATGCAACTCTTTTTCCCGTCCAGCCGAGATCCGATCTCGTGCGCCGTTCTCTCTTTTTTTTTTAAGGGTCGCACGGTATCTCGGGCTAACGAGTAACT